ATGCAGCCGATAGTGCCATCTAAAGCAATGAAATTCAAATCGAATTTCGCTGCTTCAACTTCCTTGGGGTCCTCTTGAGTCCAATCGCGTAAAGCGAATAATTCCTTTTGACGGTATTCAGCGCTATCATCGAAACGGAATTTTGCATCCAAAGCGAAGACTATTTGAAAAAAAAGTTTTTTTTTTTATTAATTTCAAACACACTCACAAAGATGTCTTGAAGATTGAAAATCTTTTAAAAGCGAAATAACTAAAAGAAAAACATAAAAAAGTAATAACTATGGTTATCTAAAAAAAATTGAGCCTTCTTTCCAAATCAGATCTTAAGCCAGAAATCATCTGACAGATCGCCTGTTCAAATTTAGGATATATGTAAAAATGTATGAATTTCTAGAATCAGACAAGAAGAGTTGGATCATGACTCTCCGGAATCGCATCTTAAAATTTTACTTTGCAATAACATAAACGAATTAATCTCACTCGACCTTTTTTTTTTCTAAAACGAATTTTTATGCACTAATGTTTATTGAAAGACAAGAGACAAGTGCAATATACTGGAAGGTAGGAGTGCTGAGAAATACACAGTCTGTGGAGAAAGCATGACATGTCGAAGAGTCGAGTCTGTAGTAAATCTGTGCACAGATTGATGAAAACCTTATGTTCTATTTTTAGCGGGATTGGAAAAGCAATGAGTTGCTGCTACTAGGGCGTTTGACAAACTTACGAGCAGATGTATTGTGCAACGATCTGAATTTGCGTCATAAGACACTTCCACTGTGACAGAGTGCATGCATCTTTACAGTTGTTGCAAAAATGCAGAAATTTCCTTAGTATACACACTAGATCTCGAATGGCATCTCGGATGTTTTACAAACTTCCCTAGGCGTCCAGTCAAAAACTCTAGAGATTTTATGGCAACCAGCATTACAACAACATTATTGCTATTGGCTATTGAATACGAAAATTGCAAAAGTCTGGCCGGGGAATCACGTAGTCGAAAGTTAGCTTTCGCTCTCTTATTCAGCTTTTGGCAAAAAACTAAATTCTTTATGAGATGTTATCTGCCTGATTTCGTATAAACATATTCTTATTTTTTATTCAATTTTAAGGGCTCAATACATTTTAGACGACTAATGTAAAATGAAATCGAAAGAGGTAAAGAAAAAGAAAAAGGAAAAATATTCTTTTAAAGCGTAAAAGAAAATATTGATAAAAATAAATAAAAACATCTTCCACATCATTGTAGCATTACTTACAGGCTTTTTAAGTTAATGATTTGTTTGGTGGATAGATTTAGGGTACAGACATAATAGCACATTAAATGGATTGAGAACAGTAATGATAACAAAGAAATGTATTACATTAGGGTAAACATAAATTCAAAAGGGAATTAAATTCAAAACTGATTAATAACTTACATCCGTCCATGGCATCTTCAGCATAAGGATTAATCTCTATAAGTAAAGCGTCTTTTTGCACAAACAATTTATACATATTTTCCAATAATTGAATGGTTTTCTCTTCGTGGGCAGCTCCAACGCCAATGGCTTGTGCCACCTTCTTCGCTAGTTCTTTGGTTAGACCTTGTTTAATATCAATTGGTTCATAAATAATTGCTTCGGGATTTTCAGCAGCCACTTCTTCAATATTTACACCACCCTGCGAGGAAGCAATAATAACCGGTCCCTAGGAGAAAATTTTATAATAAAAATATTTTTTTTTTGGATTGCAAGAATAACAAAAAATAAAAGCTATATATAAATAAAAAAAGAAAAGAATAAAAACCTACATTAAAAGCTCTCTCCATCATAACGGCGACGTAGAATTCGCGACGTGGGAATTTACGTTCCGCTACCATGACTTTTTTGCATATACGTCCAGCTGGACCGGTTTGTTTAGTCACCAGCAATTGATTAACCATTTTACCGGCAAGTTTTTCAGCTTCTTCCGGTCTGAAACAAAAAAAAAATGAAGGTCACCAGTAAGATTTACTCAGCTTATAAGCCTAAATAAGGCCTCTCGTCCTGCGTACAATGTCTAAAACAACCACCAACATAATCCTAGTGCATTAAAGAGCTGTCTTAAGGAGGAGTATGGGCAAAAGAAAAATATAATAATTATTGTTGGCCATTGTTAGTAGTTTTAATAATTTAATATAATTATAAAAATAAAAATATAAAATAAACAAGTAAAAACACTGTAGTTGTCAAAACAAAACTTTATGCAGAAAGTGATCTGTTACATCTTCAGTAGCGTTTCTCTTATGAATAAAAGATATCGCCTGCGTACAAAATTGCATTAGAATATCTCAAAAATTGCTGCGCACAGATTGAATATAAGATAACAAGAAGGACAGTCTGACAGACAAACTTACATCGATGTGGAGTGTCAATCTTTAAGAGAGTAAGAATAATGTAATTCTGAATCAATCGGACTTCTGGGTGTTGCATACATTCACCCAAACTTAATGTACCCTTATACCATAAGTGATGTAGGGTATAAATAGAGTAGCGGTGACTATGATATTTGCTGCATTAAATAAATTGGGTTCAAATATAATTTCAAGAGAAGCTTCTCTAACACTGAATGCGTACTTGGGAAAAACAAAGAGGAAAAGTTAATTTTCTTTCCGCTTTGCTACGTAAATTTGCCACTTAACATATCCGTAAGCAAAGAATTAATTTTCTATGCAGACTAAACTATACTTACGTGTGAACAATGCGTACACCACCTTTCAAGCCATTTTTGAAATGACCCACACCACGACCACCGGCCAAAACTTGAGCCTTTAGCACAAGATTGTTGGTTTTGAGGCCAGTAGCAATATCTTTAGCTTCACTACCTGACGTAGCTACACCGAATCTGAAATATAATAAAAATTTTAGTTAATTATAATCAATGAAATAATTCAATTAGTTAATTGTATTCATGTGATCGTTTCTGTCGACACTTATTGATGATAAAGGCTTGGCTGTTTACGACTTCGTTGACTCGTTTATAAAAAACGAAAAAAAAAAAAAAAAAATGAGTAAAAGAAATGTAAAAATATTTCATTTACAAAGGATTGTTGTATATACGTCTATTTTTTTTACAATGATTTGTTTAAAATACAATTACTTTAAAGAAAAAAAAGAAGAAAAACTGATAAAGCACAGCTGAGTGTTTTTTTTAAACCTTTCGGTTTCTTCTTCTCGTTTTTGCTTTTTAATTTTTGGCAATTGCCATAGAAAAGCTTTTTATACAATTAAATAGGGCGATGGTATAGAAACTTACATTTTCAATGTCATCGCCAAGTAATAGCGAAAAGATATCTAGCCTCCCATGCGGTACGTTTTATAGATAACACAATTTGCGGACTTGGCTACTTACTTACTCGTTGCCTCATTCGTATGAATTCTAAATTCTTTTATTAACTGATCGCCTATTAGTTAAGCAAACAATTTTTAAGCGGATTTGGAAATCATTCGCATTCCAGTCGTACATATGTTAAAAATTTTAGTTAGAAAGGATTAGAGATTTTTTGCCAAATTTCCCACTGTACAAATGCTTTGTTCGTCTTTGCATATCTAAAGTAAGTCTGCTTCAGCTAGAAGCTACGTTAATTAACGCCGCTTATTGGTAAGTAAGTGTTTACTCTTCTTTTACTTACTTTGGCGTGGGAATGCCAGCATCATTCAGAAGTTTATAGGAAACATGCTCTTGTACATTTAGTTTTCGATTTTGCTGATTAGTGGCTGCACCTAATGCAGATCCCAGCACCTAAATGAGAAAGAGAAACCAATTAAATAATGCCTAAGCACTTATTACACCTCATATCATCAAGTTTATATCGACCTTAGCGACCATGCAAGCATTTCATGCCCATTTTTTAAGTAAATAAATTATTGAATGAATCAGAGAGATCAGACTAGGTGTGCCCTAATGTCCATTCTTGTCTCAAAAAGCTGATTTTGCTTTTTTCCTTATTTTTTATTTTTGCTTACTATTACCGTTTAGCTGAAGCGGTGGTGGTAGAGCTCATCTCGGAGCGATAGGAATTGCTTTAGATGTTTGCTTTTCCTTACTCTAATTAAAATTTGTTAGTCTTTGCATCACATAGGAAATTCTATGTGGACGAGAAGGACGAGAAGGTGTTTTTAGTCTCATTTGAATTAAGAAGAATTAAGATCATATTAATAAAGAAAATTTGACTTGAAATGTAAGGGCGTTAGTATTTACCATAAGCCTAAGAGCAATATTCAAAAAATTGTCACATATTCTATTTCAAATTTTTGTTACGTCATAAATTTTTATTTAAATTTTTTCTCGTTGCTGCTTTGCATACTCGATCGACCTCCAAGCAAAAACCGTCACTATTTCTTTTCTTTTGTTTCACTCACTAAAAATTATGTAAAACTGCTCTTGTTTCCATTATTTTTTTTTTTTTTTTACCTTTTTGCCAATTTTCTGATTGACAATTTCAGCTAATGCACCGGTGCGTGTGAATATTGAAGCCATTATTTCTTTTTGTCTTCTTTATCTAAATGTAAAAAAAATTGTACAAAATAAAGTCGTTTGAAAAGAAATTTATTTTTTTTATAGTTTAAGTAATTTTCTGTAAATTTATAAAATAAAGACTTTTCTTATTTATCCGCACCCAAACAGCACTGTCTTCCGATAAGAACTGATGATAGCCAGAGTTGCCAACAGTTTGTGCAAAGATTACTGCAAAGGATGGATAATCTTACAGGTGGTCGGTGTGTCGGGATTATGCGATGAGCTCTCTCAGAGCGATTTCAAATTTTCGTGATTTAAAATGCAATCTTCACTATCAGTCGAAATTAAATGTCACCGTCCTTCAAATGTTTCTAAGCCATTAATCTTAATAATCATTATCAGTTTACTTAAAAGTCTTTTTTTAGACTTAAAGTGACTTGTAAAATAAATGGGAAATAAATCTTTAGTTACGTCTTGGAGTCAATTCGCTATAGAAAGGAATAAGAAGAGAAGCTAAGCGAACACCATTTTTTTTTAGCATAGAAGGTAAAGCGGAAAACGAAGCAAAGTAAAGGTAGTTAAAATACTGTATAAAATTAACTTACAAATTACTTGGTTCTTTTTGTTTTCGTTTTCAGAATAGAAAAGGTCCGCTAATAATGCCAACAAAAAGAATCGTATATTCAATCGGTAAAGTGAAGGTAAATATATTATTAAATATTAATATTTATATATTACTTATTTATTCCTTCTATTTTAGATAAAAGAAAATTAAGTCCAGCTCTCCGCTCATCGCCTCATATAGATGAAGACTCGCTGTATGCCAAAGGTAAGTTTGCATTTATCCTTTCTTATTATTATGTATAATTTATTCATTTGCTTTTATTTCATTTTAGATCGAAAAAATAAAAAAACACCTGCATTATCGCTTCAGCGGAATCTTCCGTAGATAAATAAACAGAAAATAATAGAGCTTGCGACAAAAATAGTAGAGCTTGCGACAAAAGTAATAGAGCTTGTGACAAAAATAGTCGACCAAACTTGTGAGTATTTTTTAAGTTATGTTTATGTTTATGGTGGTATATGCCCCACAGGAGATGCCAGCCATTTAAAAAAATTGGCAACGCGCCTATCACGGTACCTCAAAGTGGTGCGGAAAACCGTTTCATTTATTTATTTCAAAATTACCGGAAATACACAGTCCGCTACTTGATTATCTAACTGAATGCGATTGACTTTTAGATGTTTCACGTATTGGCAATGTTTGTTGGATTGTTTAATTCGCCTTCTCTATCAACAATTTCAACACTTTTATCTTTTGCACACAATAATATATAAATTGCTTAGATAATTTAACCGGTTTAATTATAAGGTAAGTATGAGAAAGTTAAGTTCATCGGATTGGATGGACAAAGCCACATAGTGTTTCAGAACTTATCATAATAGTAATTTTACGCATTCTAAGGTACGCCGCCTTTGTGGAGAAATGATAAGATGTAGTTCTCGGTATTTGCTTAAGGAAGGTTTAGGACTGAAAATTAAACCCCAACAATTTTGTTACCTCAGTTTCTGAACGATAATAAAACTTGTCCCTATGAGTTACCTCGTGCAAATATATTATAGGCAAACTAAATGATTTTTGCATTAGGCAAAGTGATGTAGGGTGTCTACTTACTTACTTAAATTTAAAAAAAAAAAAAATGCAATTACCATAATGGATTGATTTTACATATTCGCTTGTTATTGTTACAATACATTCTCAAATTACAAATTACGTATAAAAATAAAATAACAGACATCTCAATCACACAGAACTTACACAAAAACACAATTTAACAACAATATTTTGCTTAACTTACACTTAAAATAGAACAACTTATTTCTAAACAGCCAAACTATATAAAAAATAACACTAAAAACTAGTCGATTATGTTTTTAGTGTAATTTTATATTTCACAGAGTAATTATTCTCAGCAGCCAAAGAGTATTTACAAAATAACACGAAAAATAAATAAGAAAGAGTAAGTTTTTAGTGTTATTTTGCATCTCGCACAATATTTATTCTTTGGCCAAAGAGAATTTACAAAATCCCATTAAAAACAACAAGCAGAATAAGTTTTTAATGTGATTTTGTATTTTACCAATTATTTACAGCAATGCTTAAATAAATTTATGACAAAACTTTTAAACCATAAAAATCAACCGCGGCATTGATTTGTTCAAAGTAAAGGAATTCAATAAATTTTACTTAAGCATTACAAGTATAATTACAACAACTTTCAGGAAAACTTGACAAAGAGCCCAAAGTAAATTATTAAGCAGTGGAGGTATAAAGTCTAAATATACGCCAGATAATAATTTACTTCGTTCGCAAACAAAAAAAAGAAAAACAGACATAAACATTGCAATGTTTTTGTACAAATAAACTTTCTAAAAATTTTCCCTTACATTTTCTTTTTTTTTTTTGTATAATACAAAAGAAACAAAAATCTGAAGAATTTTCTTTTTTAGTGTTAAAAAAAAATTCTTGAGAATTTCTTTACAGTAGCAAAAAAAAATTAAGAGAAAATTTTTCAATTTCTTTAAATTTAAATATAATTATCCTAAAAAAGCCAATTTTCTCACAATATTTCGAACAAAAAAAATTTTTGAATACGCTTAAAACATAAAAAATTTAACATGTAATGAATACTGAAGACCTTGACAACATTTAACATATAACAAACAACAAATAGAAGGTTTTAAAATTTAAAAAAACATTTCGATGCAAATATAAAAATGAAAACTTTTACAACGTTAGAATATTAGATTTCTTGTTACGTTTCGATTTAGTTAATATTCTAGTTGAGATTCGATTAATTTCAGAACACGTTGGCGTCCAATTTTATTCCAAAAGACATACGATTGACAAGCGCCGGTAACGATACGAGGTCCGCTAAAGAGTATTTGTATGAGAAGAATATTATATGAGAAAAGAACGTTACATACTAATGTATCTATTAAGTGACAATCAAAACATGGTCTATCATTAAACACCCTGCACAAACTTATATAACTACTTTTCACAATAAGCCCTTATACGGGAAGTGGTCTCTAAAATTTGCGGCCTGAATGGAATCATAGACAGACAAGCTACAGATTGAGAATCTTTTTCTGAATCGACTAATGTGATGTGTCTGCACACAGATTTAATATAGCCTTATATCATAAAGGATATAGGGTACAAATAGGATAATTGCATGCACTTTAGGACAAATTTTTGAGTAACGAACTTTGTTAAATATACCCATGTGACAAACTGACACGGAAGGACTGATTTATCTTCATGACTGTTGGAATTGAAAGGGAAGTTCATCTACTGTCTTGGATAAAGAAACATTCCAACAATTGAGAACTTTTCCCATATCAAGTTGTCAGGATTACTTCTGTCCCTAATGGAGGCTATTCGAAATTCTGTTTCTTTCCGTAGCTAAAATAATTTTTTGTAGCACTCAACTTCACATAAGAGCGTCATCATTACTCACTTTTGATAGCAATCGAACAATGTAAGGTTTTTATCGTTTACCAAGCATTTCCATATATCAATAACCATTAGTTGGCGAGCTCTACCCAAACGTTTTATGTAATCATTCAAACGCATTAAAGTCATTTTCACTTCATTGTTGTGGGCATAATTGGCTAATGGTGCGATCGTAGTTAAAATTGGTTTGATTTTCTTCTTTAACATAATTACAACTAATTCTCTCAAATCATGTTCAATTTGTATTAGATTACGTCCTTGCATTATGTCCACGGAACCGATATTGATTATAATTGATTTATCGGTGAAATTATTTAACCGATTTAATCGTTTAATGGCACCGGACACGGTTTGACCAGAGACGCAAAGTCCTGATTGTAAAACTTTTTGATCTGTTTAAAGTAAAAAGATAAGGTTTTCAAAAAAATAAAAAAAGAAATTAAAACAAAAAAAACAAAAGTAAGACTTACTTCGTTTAAATTTACAACCTAACTCCATTCGCGCCATGTAAAGAAAGAAATCATCACCTAACAATAAGAAATCCAACAGATGAGCCTCATAGTCGGAATCAGTAAACATGGAATCAGTTGTTTGACAACTTTTCGCAGCGTTAGGCGAAGAATGATGGGAATATGGAGGTATTAGGGAGGTCAAAATATTATAGTTATTACTTGTGCTTAGGGAAGAACGGGACCTTGGTATTAAGTTGGAATTTTCCAAGGGTATTGTCTCAATAGCACAAACATTCTGTTTACTATTGCTTGAGACATCATTCGTTAAAGTTTTCTGTAAATTTCTATTGATCGTTGCAGCTAATCCCGTAGTCGCTGCAATGGTTGCATGTTGAGCCGGGTGTAGTTTGATGGTGGCTTGGTTTTCCAACTTTCGTTGTTTTCCGAACCGATTGCAACTAAAATTTAAAAAAATAATAAATAACTGAAATCTAGGGAAGCAATTTTTAAGCTAAGCTGACTTACAGGTAATTACAGTTATCTTCGTAATAGAAATTGTGTTCGCTGATGTTCGCTGCTTCTTGTTGTAATGACACGTTTATAGGCCGTCTAAATTTATCCGCGTCCGGATATATTTGAATCTCAGGTTGCTGGTGTTGTTCAGGCCTCTCTTTTACTATGCTGGATGACTTATAACGGTAAAACTGCTGATGTGGTGCTTGGTAATAATTTCGTTGATTCTGATTATTACTATGAGGCGTTGTATAGACTCCTGTCCTTTGAGAAATTTTTTGATTTAGTACCAAGTCTAGTAAATGCCTCGTAGTGTCTGTTGGCATAATATTGAAAATTCTGGTGCCATTTTCGTTACAAAAAACCATTACATGTGTTATAGAAAGCAGGAAATCGGTGATATTCTCTTCAACGGGAAATCTTAAGCCGGTTAATTTTTGGTAATCACCTAATGTATAAGAAGAAGAATACGATGCAAGTATTCGAGAATGTTCTATTTGATTTTCTCTTATCCTTTTCAACTACTTACCGCGGATCTCATCAATTGTGGCACCATTTTGCGCCCGAGCTAATAGAATGCCACGTATTTCATAATCAATTTCAGGATATTCTTCCTTTACATCCAAGAAATCCAAGGAACTAATTGTCATGATTCTCGTTCTTTACCTGACCTCCAAACAAACTCCTTCTTCAACCGTAGACTAATGCGATATCGCCTGTCTTTTGTATGACTGTGTTTGACTTGATTTTTATTCTGAAATTCAAACGAATCTCTCCTACTGCCAACGGTGAAAACACGTGGTTAATTAAAGATGACTTAAGTGCCGCTACATAAAATTCCTTCAAAACGTTGTTGCGATGGCGGCACTCGCATTGTTGCCCTTGCTATGTTGAGCTTGAATGAAATAAAATTTACGCGCTTGCAAAGAAAGCTAACACAAATATATTGGTCCTCTCTTTTTCTCCTATGGATGGACGTAGTATTTGTACATGAATTAAATTCTCACCAATTGAAATTTTTTTCTATGAAAATCCGTTTTGATATCACTCTTTTTTATGCTGAGTTGTAAAATACTGCAGTAAACCAAAATTTACATAGAAAGTTGTAAAAATTCCCTCCTTGATAAGTCGTTATTAAAGTAAAAGTTAAGTTCTGTAGTTAAAGTTTAATTGTAACAAATTTCAGGGAGTAAAGAAGTACTTCGATTTTATTATAACTCTAATTACGTTCCTCCATTAAATTGTATATTTTAAGGCCATCTGTTAAATTTTCATTCATAAAAATTTCTTTATTAAATTTTATTTTTTCTAAACATTGTAGATCTTTTTTTTTGATTCCACATTCTAGCGTGAACATAAGTCGCAAACATTTGAAACAAACGTATTGCATTCATTAGTAGACTTTGATTTTATTTAAAGGAAAGAAGTTTTGACAGAGATATCGCTAAATCGATGTTACTACGCATTTTTCGTCGACAATTTGCGCAACTATTCTCAAAATTGAATCTATCAAAATGGTTAACAACGAATAACCATATTGCAATTATATATTTTGCTATCCCTGCGATTACGACAAGAAAAAAGAAATACGACTCTTTGACTGCAAAATGTAAATAAGAGATAGCAAGTTTGTTATTAAAACTAAATTCATTAAACCGTTAGCATTCAGTTTCCTTTATTATTAGCTCTTTTCGTCAATCAGGTTTTCTGTATTCTGTTTCTTTGTCTTGCACATTACTAAATGGTATTTCTGTTAAATTGGTGTAAGGTATCTGTTAAAGGTTTACAGTTGTTTGTGATTTTAACAATAATAATGCCAGCAAGACCTAAAATGATGCCAAGTAATCAAAGAAATCTTCTCTCAGAGCACGCAAAATTTTATAATAACAGTGCCAACAAAACTTGGATGGTGCCAAGTATTCAACGAAATCTTCTCTTCATTCATTCATTTAGTCATTATTTTCACTTCAAAGCAAAAAGTTGAGAATTTGCTGTAAGCAGGAGAAGGTTTGTGTTTTTATTTATTTTTTTAAATACCTGAATAGAAAACAGTTAATAAAAGTGTTTGAAATAATTACAAGTGATCGTAATTTAATAAAAAGTTGATAAAGCTGAAACAAAAAAAATATTAATTTTGCAATTGGTTTTAAAATAATTGTCGCTGTTTCATGATTCGGAATGGATATGAACAGTTGAAGCGCGATAGACGCGTTATTATTGTTTTCGTTTGTGCTAAAACAGGCATTTGTGCTTAGAAAATACGCCATTTATTTAATTGTTTCATGTGTGATTTGTGGTTTAAGCGGTTTAATGCTTCAGTGGTAAAAAGAAAAAATTGATATAATTAATAATCAAAGCAGCAAATCTATTTAATTGTAAATATGAGTGAAACACCAATTCCAGCTGTAGTAACTGTTATGAGCCACGACGAGGAATCGGAAGAAGTACGCACGTTATTACTGCGACATCAAGAGCGCATTATACTCGACTTAGGTAATACGGACTTGTTAACGGTTTTGGTAAAAAATTCCGTCTTATCGCAATCAGAAGAAGATTTACTATTGAAACCTTATACGGCTATAGCGCCACCGCCATCACCAGTTTTACCACAAACCACTAGTGCTCCTTCTAGCGTGAGTGTTATAAAGCGTAAGCTTTGTGCCGTTATCAGTAATGCAAGCAACAGTTCCAACTCTAGTTCTAACAACAACTTAGGAACAAATCATGTCACTAATAGTGGAAGTGGTAGTGGTAGTGCTGGAAATAATTCCCCAAGTGTTAGTGTTATCGACGATCCCGTTCAAAACGATAATTGCTCCCTAGCAACAACTTCTGAGAATAATGCAGGCGTTAATCCACTTTCTTCAACGGGCGATACAAATAGTGATCACTACAGCACCAAAGAGGAGTTGCGATCCTTAATGCTAAACGATGCTGAGATATTACGTTTACAGTGTTCCAATTTAATTGAGATCATTGCCAAAAGTGGCTTTGAAAAATTTAAACAATTTTGTTATGCCATCGAGAACGAATGTCCCCAATTAATTGAGGATTTAATTAACGATCGTCTCAAGTGCGGTAAGTTTGCAAACGACTTGTATACAACTTTCATATCATTAATAAAATTCAAAGTAAGCTTGTCGTCTGTATATCATAGCTCGCGCGTTAGCTGCGAGGACATTATTAATATATAATGATAGGCGTTAAAATTTTTGCTTTGTACTCGAGTCTACTAAACTAAGCAGATTAATTTGTTGTTTTCCTTGTGCGAATATATGTTTTTACTTAATTTTTTATTTATTTTTTGTTAGGCTGATTGAAAAGTTTGTGGAAACAGCAATGAAGAAGTAAGCTTTCATTTCTCGAAATGATTGTTCAATCATTTACTCCAACTTGTAGGAATTTTTCATACTTTTTTCCAGATAGTGAGTTAAAGAGATGCAGATCTCATGAAAAAGCTCTAGCAAGCTTGTAGTTATTAATTGCGAAACATTGCTTGGATGAAAAGTTTTTTTTTTTTTTTTTCGAGTTAACATGATTTGCTTATCACTTTTCTTCGGTTTATATTAAATTTACGAACGAAAAGGATAAGTCCTTGGGCTAATTGGTCTTTTGAAGTTTGAAAAATATACTCAAATAATATTTTTGCTCAATTTAATGTACTCCAGGTGTTTCGAAAGCCACGGATCGAATTCTTAGTAGTACCAAAAGTTTTTTCAAATCTCTTTTACTATTTTGAAAAAGTTTGAAGAGAGAACCTAAAGATTTTTATTCTATCAAAATTTAATAAGACCCATACACTTCTCAGAATCTCAAAACGGCGGTACTAAGCAGCCTTAAAAAAAAGAAATGAAGCGAGCAAACGGTGTCCAAATTTGTGTGTTTCCTTATATTTCCTAAGTAAGTCGGGAAAAAATTAATCGCTTAGTTGCCGAAACTGCCATCCGGTGGATCGACATAAACCTTCGCACTTGTGTTCATATAAAGAACAAATTTTCGAAATATCATAATTCTTACAGTTTTGATGACTGTCAATCTGTGAACTTTTCAACTGGCGTCTTATGATGTTCAGCTATGCTGTTCATGTTTTGATCAATTAAAAAAATTTTTTTTTCTTTTTTTTTTTAATTTTATTCCAACAACTTAATTGATCGGGTCAAGTAATAGAGGAAACACGTATCAATATAAAAATGAATGAATGAACATTCTTGTGATAATACGTTTAACTTGTGTAATAGAAAGGAGGACAGAAACTATGAGAAGAACTAAAAAAGAAGAAATTGTTGCACTACAGTGTCGACAAAAAGTCTTCTTTAGTATATAAGAAAATAAAGAATCAATTCAGTCTATTTCTTCTCATTTCCTTAAATACTATCGAAATAAATATAAAAAAATCGCCAAGAAGTTCACCTGAAATATTTCATTCACACCCACAAATATCTCTCGCTATCATGCAAGTCTAACGGGAATTGTGAAAATAAAATAATTCACTGTAGCGAAGCATGACCCGCCAATCATGCAGCAGTTATTCATTTCAATGCTTTTCAATGTAAGGCAATGTATGAGAAGTGGTCGAAAAAGCGGTCCGAACCGAACGATTTGCTTGGGCCGAAACACGTCACTGTACCAAAATTTCATCAAAATATCTCCAAAAATTTGCGAAGTGAACTTAAGCAAACAAAGCAGATATACGGACATATAAGCTGCTGTAGGTCTGAATCGATCGCTATAATAAAAAGAGGATTTATCTCAACTCCTCCGCACATACATCCACAAGTGATTTAGGGTGTAAAAATTCTAAACAATGTAGGATATATGAGAAGGAGTGTTAGGGCCTCTAATGCATGTGATATTAAAAACTATATCGCTAATATCTTAATTGTTTAATGGGTTAATTATGAGGGCTTACTAGACTATGACTATGCTGGTAACATTGCAAGGAAATTGCGATAAACTTTACGATTTAATCTCAAAATAAGTAAATGATATAAGGCTCCTATGGAAAGACTTTCATGTCTTGAATGTTCTTTCCAGTGTTTCTTTATGGTTGCTACCATCATATTTTAGAAAGACGAACAGTGGAAGGAGGATGAAAAAATGAATTTTAAATTATTTCAAATTAAACTAATTTAAACGAACTAAAATTAAATTAATTAATAAAATTAATTAATTAGATTAAATTATTTATAATATTTATAAATTTATAAAATATTTATAAACTATAATTAATTTAAATTAATTAATTTAATTTTTTTTAATTAATTAAATTAAAAAATAATCATCTGTCGAGAGGCTTTTTCCTTTCGTAGAAGAAAGCATATCACGTAAAAAGTAAGATAATGGCCAGTTGACAAAAGATTTAAAACAGGTTCGTATCGGATAATGAATTTCCGTCGCTGGACGAGAAATTCATATAAAACAAGTTGGTGAGTTGCTACCCTACAATCGATTAAACTTTCTTATGGAGTGCGTTGCATTTTTTGCTTTATCGCCGTTTCTTTAAGCGTATTTGAGTTGCTGGATGGTGTGCGGTTCACGCATAAGTATCATACATCAACATTTCGCGAAAGTCTAAAACTGAACTGATCGTTGATTCTTAAAGCATTCTTTTCTTAAATTTTTTAATTACCTATCTACCACATTAAATATTGATTTATATCGTTGCTCTGTTAATAATTTCTATAATGATGATAATAGTTTACAGTTCATAAAAACAGTGTTGTATTTTACAGTTCTCTATATACGCATATCTGCATTAAAACGTGATGTCACATTTAATTTATGAAGCGTTTTTTCCTTTTTTTTAGTAGAAAATTTTGCTAAGCAAATCCTTTAGTTAAGCATTAGATCGTTTCAACAGCTTACATAATCTCGGTTAATTTATAGAGCGGCGTTAAGTTGACTTCGAAGCGTTTATAGTTATCGTAAAAGAAAGCGCCCAACGTTCCAAAGTCGAAAAATTCAAATGTAAACCTCACGTAGAGATAGAGACCGGTTTTAAGGATTTTAAGTCATTGATACAAGTTGTTGTTGTT